GGTTGGAGCGGCAGGAGTCCAGCGAGCCGGAGCCACCGCGGCATGATGGGAAGGGTGGAGGGTGAGCACCATGATGGGGACACCCCCCGAGTCACCCGTGTCACCAGTGGGTGGCCGGGGGACTGATGTGACACCCCCCTCCCCCACCCGGTGACTTCCTCTCCCCCCACAACTCCTCACCCCTGTCCTCCAAAATCTCTGCCCGTAGCAAAGCCACCTTGGCCGACATCGTGGAGCAGCTGCAGGAGAAGGAGGCTGGTGGCCCCTTGCCGGCGACGGTGAGTCCTCTTGGTGTCACCTCAGTGGCCCCTCAGTGGCCCTTTGGTGTCCCCTTGGTGTCTCCTCAGTGTCCCTTTGGTGTCTCCTTGCTGTTCCTTTGGTGTCCCCTTCGGTGTTGCCTTCACTTCCCCTTGGTGTCCCTCTGGCTTCCCCTTGGTGTCCCCTTGGTGTCCCCTTGGCTTCCACTTTGTGTCTCATTGGCTTTCCCTTTGTGTCCTCTTGGTGTTTCCTTGGTGTCCCCTTGGTGTCCCCCTGGCTTCCACTTGGTGTCCTTTTGGTGTCCCCTTGCTGTCCCCTTGATGTCCCTTGGAAACCTCTTGGTGTCCCTTTGGTGTCCCCTTGGCTTCCACTTTGTGTCTCATTGGCTTTCCCTTTGTGTCCTTTGGCTTCCACTTCGTGTCTCATTGGCTTCCCCTTTGTGTCCTCTTGGTGTTTCCTTGGTGTCCCCTTGGTGTCCCCCTGGCTTCCACTTGGTGTCTCATTGGTTTCCCCTTGATGTCCCCTTGGTGTCCCCTTGACTTCCCCTTGGTGTCTCCTTGGTGTCCCCTTGGTGTGTGCTTGATGTCCCTTTGGTGTCCCTTTCACTTCCCTTTGGTGTCCCTTTGGCTTCCACTTCGTGTCTCATTGGCTTCCCCTTTGTGTCCTCTTGGTGTTTCCTTGGTGTCCCCTTGGTGTCCCCTCAGTGTCCCTTTGGTGTCCCCTTCAATTCCCCTTCATGTCCCCTTCAATTCCCCTTGATGTCCCCCTGATGTCCCCCTTGGTGTCCTCTTGGTGTCCCCTTTTATTTCCCCTTGATGTCCCCTTGACGTCTCCTCAGTGTCTCCTTGGTGTCCCTTTGGTGTCCCCTTCGATTCCCCTTCGTGTCCCCTTGGCTTCCCCTTGATGTCCCCCTGATGTCCCCCTTGGTGTCCTCTTAATGTCTCCTTGGTGTCCCCTTGGTGTCCGCTTGTTGTCCCTTTGGTGTCCCCTTGGCTTCCCTTTGGTGTCCCCTTGGAGTCTTCTTGCCTTCAACTTCATGTCCCCTTGGTGTCCCCTTGACATCTCCTCAGTGTCCCCTTGGTGTCCCTTTGGTGTCTCTTTGGTGTCCTCTTGGTGTCCCCTTTTTTTTCCCCTTGGTGTCCCCTTGCCTTCCCCTTGATGTCCCCCTGATGTCCCCCTTGGTGTCCTCTTGGTGTCTCCTCGGTGTCCCCTTGGTGTCCCCTTGGTGTCCCCTTGATGTCCCTTTGGTGTCCCCTTCAATTCCCTTTCGTGTCCCCTTGGCTTCTCCTTGATGTCCCCCTGATGTCCCCCTTGGTGTCCTCTTGGTGTCTCCTTGGTGTCTCCTTGGTGTCCCCTTGGCTTCTTCTTGGTGTCTCCTTGGAGTCTTTGTGCCTTCAACTTCATGTCCCCTTGGTGTCTCCTTGGTGTCCCTTTGGTGCCCCCTTTTATTTCTCCTTGGTGTCCCCTTGACTTCCCCTTGATGTCCCCTTGGTGTCCTCTTGGTGTCCCTTTGGTGACCCCTTGGCTTCTTCTTGGTGTCTCCTTGGAGCCTTCTTGCCGTCAACTTCGTGTCTCCTTGGTGTCCCCTTGACTTCCCCTTGTTGTCCCCTTGGTGTCCCCTTGGCTTCTTCTTGGTGTCTCCTTGGAGTCTTCTTGCCTTCAAATTCACGTCCCCTTGGTGTCCCCTTGACATCTCCTCAGTGTCCCCTTGGTGTCCCTTTGGTGTCCTCTTGGTGTCCCCTTTTATTTCTCCTTTGTGTCCCCTTGGCTTCTCCTTGATGTCCCCCTGATGTCCCCCCTGATGTCCCCCTTGGTGTCCCCTTGGTGTCCCCTTTTATTTCTCCTTTGTGTCCCCTTGGCTTCCTCTTGATGTCCCCTTGGTGTCCGCTTGTTGTCCCTTTGGTGTCCCCTTGGCTTCTTCTTGGTGTCTCCTTGGAGTCTTCGTGCCTTG